TTTACTAGTTAATGTTAAATACTGCTACAGTTAATATTATAATATTATAATATTAATCTTTTGCACTCGAAAGTAATTTGACTGTTTGCAAACAACTTTAAACTTAATTAATATTAACTGGGTTTTAAATATTTTATTAAAAAGTTAGAACAAAAGAATAATTCTTTACTAGTTAATGTTAAATATTGCTACAGTTAATATTATAATATTATAATATTAATCCTTTGCACTCGAAAGTAATTTGACTGTTTGCAAACAACTTTGAACTTAGTTAATGTTAACTGGGTTTTAAATATTTTATTAAAAAGTTAGGACAAAAGAATAATTCTTTACTAGTTAATGTTAAATACTGCTACAGTTAATATTATAATATTATTAATATTATTAATATTATTAATATTAACCCTTTGCACCCGAAAGTAATTTGACTGTTTGCAAACAACTTTAAACTCAGTTAAAAAATTGAATGAATTCTTTTGAGGTTATTATTTATCTACTAATAATTTCCCGTATTTTTTGTTTCACTATGTTTATACATCACACGTGTCATACTGCAGAATCAGTTAAAAAATGCTAATTTCGAATTATTGTGTTAAATAAAATGGTGACTGAGAGTCAAAGGGTTAAATAGTTACACTTAATTTTGTAATATTAAGTAGTGATAGTTTATTTATTTAATCAAGACTGAATAAATATCAGTAAGTAATATTAGTCATTTAATAACATCTACATTACATTTATTTAGTAAAATTAATTTTGACGTCTTTACAAGTATTTATACAGTAATAGCACATGTATTTATTGTCTATACAAATTTTACATTTATACAGTAATAGCACATGTATTTAATGTCTATACAAATACTACATTTATTCAGCTTAAATACTATATACAGTAATTTCTAAATAAATCAACGCACCTCTCGAAACTGTGCAGACTTCATGTCGACCACAAAATGGCGTCTCGCCGCCATTTCACATCATATTTCAATATTAACGCAAACATATACTTCAATGTTAATGTACATATTTTCAACATATCTTTACACATCTCACAAATTGCTATGGTCCAGCACAGTTATCCTACAGTATATCATTCAATAATATTCAAACCTAACTTCATTTCGACACAGTTTATTGAATACCAAGAAAACTGAAATTTTGTTAAAATTGAAAAATGAAAAGTACAAGCACACCATATGATATAGTTAAATAGTTAAAAAGTTTAAAAGTTAGATAGTTAAAAATAGTCGAAGGTATCGATTGCACGTAAAAAAGATCGTGAGAGAGAAAAGGACCCCTCCTGTCAGTCGTATGTCAACCCTCGTTGTTTTTTTGCCACGCTCTTAATAATTGATCATCTGATTACGATACATTATACCCCTCTTTTTCTACCTTGGTAGACCGTCAGAGGGTATTATTCGTACACCGAGGGAAACAGAGTAAACGAGCGAAACAGAGAAGGAAAGTTTTTCTTCCGTCGTCGCCTGGCCGAGGGACGGCCATTTGCATATAGGCCCCCTTATCGACAAATACACCGGGGGCGCCCCTCGTAATGAGGGCCCCCTTCCCTTGCTCTCCATCCCTCTTTCCTTTATTTTTTTAACGTGGACCGCCATTGTCCGTTAACTCATTCGTAGCTGCGTCGACCAGTTTCGTATCTCCCTTCCTTCCTCGTTATCCTCTTCATCTTTCTCTCGCCGTTTCTTTGTTCCAGCTATCGTCTCTCCCTAGAATCTCTGTCTCTGTTCTTCTCCCTTTCTATGATTCCCTCGACCTTTCATGTTGAATTGCGTTAAGACAAAAAAACGGAGGAAAAAACTAGGGAATAACAGAACCGGTTACGAGTCGAAAAATATGAATCATAGATAGAATTGGAAGCGTGAAAGCGTCGCTGAGATTCTGTGTGACATCTGCTTTTAGATTTGTGTACGGCGGAAAAAATGACAGGGGCAATAGATACCCTTTCGATGCCGCGTATGGTTCGTTTTGATAGGTGCATTCGTTGCGGAAATATTTCTTTCGAACTGTAATTCGTTCTGGAATTTCTTGCAAAATTTAGGAAATCTTTTATTGTTGTTGCTAATGGAGATTTGTGGACTGCATTCGGTTCTGAAATTTCTGGGAGATGTGTATTTAAGATGAGGGTGAAATCTGTTAATAGTTAGAGAAGAAATTGTACGAATATAGAATTATTTAATTTTATTAAAATAGTTGTAAATTGTTACTTAACGATGTATGAATGTTTTAATAAAAATTAGACGTTTTTGTTGCAAAACTGATGGTTGATATGAAGCTCTGAAATATTGTATTAATTCTAATAAAAAGAAGGTGTAAAAATATATTAAGGTTATTTAATATGAGAATTTGAGGTTAGGTTATTGTAACATCAAAACGGAATATTCTACATAACCTCCAAACCTAACCTAACCTTTAGTTCCACTTAACTTAAAATAAATTAAACAGGGCAAGAGTGCTCAATAAAACTTGCAAATACTAGTTTTCAACGAGAAAACCATAAATATCTCAAAGAAGTAAATATTCACATACATCAAATTTAACTATATAAATCCTTGATCCTAATTAACATAAAATAAATTAAACAGGGTAAGAGTGCTCAATAAAACTTGCAAATACTAGTTTTCAACGAGAAAACCATAAATATCTCAAATAAGTAAATATTCACGTACATCAAATCTAACTCTATAAATCCTTGATCCTAATTAACTTAAAATAAATTAAACAGGGCAAAGTCAAGAGTGCTCAATAAAACTTGCAAATACTAGTTTTCAACGAGAAAACCATAAATATCTCAAAGAAGTAAATATTCACATACATCAAATCTAACTCTATAAATCCTTGATCCTAATTAACTTAAAATAAATTAAACAGGGCAAAGTCAAGAGTGCTCAATAAAACTTGCAAATACTAGTTTTCAACGAGAAAACCATAAATATCTCAAAGAAGTAAATATTCACATACATCAAATTTAACTATATAAATCCTTGATCCTAATTAACATAAAATAAATTAAACAGGGTAAGAGTGCTCAATAAAACTTGCAAATACTAGTTTTCAACGAGAAAACCATAAATATCTCAAAGAAGTAAATATTCACATACATCAAATCTAACTCTATAAATCCTTGATCCTAATTAACTTAAAATAAATTAAACAATGCAAAGTCAAGAGTGCTTAAAAGTTATAAATACTAGTTTCAACGCAAAAAGCACAAATATCCAAAGGAGCAAATATTCACATATATCAAACTCCCTCTAATCCTCTAACTCTAATGTAGCTGTATCATCGACCCTAATTAACTTAAAATAAATTAAACAATGCAAAGTCAAGAGTGCTTAAAACTTGTAACTACTAGTTTCAACGGAAAAAGCACAAATATCCAAAGAAGCAAATATTCATATATTCGTCCAATTTAAAGAGTGGCATTAACTCGTACAACATACGGACCAGTTTCGTAGCCTCGGGAGACCCGATCGTTACCGACTTCGTTACACAACTGTTAGGATAATCTGCGGTGCGAATCATGAGCCGTGATACATGTATACAAGTATGTATAGGTATGTATGTCCGGCCGAGGGCAGGGGTGAGGGCAGGTGTACCTTCCAAGGGAATAATTAATATTCAGCGAGGAAAAAGTGGGCGAGAGTCGGCGATGGTCTTCTCTTCCGAACAGTTAACGCGTTAGCAAACGGGCGTACATCGCTTGTAGACACGCAGCTGGTTCTACCAAGAAAGACTTCGGCCAATTATGGTCGTCTTGTCGATCCTTCGTACCCTAATTGTTTAACGTTTGATCTGCTGCCTACATGTCCGCCACGACTGATTTTATCTACCATTCTTTCTTTATTCTTGAAACTCTTCGGATAATTTTACTTAATGTCCCACATTTTTACTAAAATAACCAAAGTGGCATTTTTGTACACAAGTGACTTCAGTTCCAGTGAATTCAAGACTTTCTCACCGATAGAATTATTTATCAAATTTCAACAAAATTTTGCCTAATTTGCGACATTTCAGCAGTTGTTACATTTTCAGCAATTTTAAATGAAACCGTGAATCGATAAATGTTTGAAAGAAAGAAAAATTTTCGGCAAAGTTTCTTAAAATTAAAAGAAACTTGCAAGTATGTAGTAACGGGTTAAACCGCAGTTTGAACACAATTGCAAGAATAAATTGTAATATAGTAACATAGATACCGGCAATCTTTCAACAAAATCTCGGCGGTCTTAATAACGAAAGCGTGTATACATAGGTTGGGTGCAGGACGAATTGCAGCTGCAGAAAACGAGGAAAACTTATGATCAGATAAAGCCGAAAGTGGAGGTGAGAACGGTATAAAAGAGTTGGAGAAAAAGAGATAGAGAAAGGGAGATGGAGAGAAGCAGGAGTACAAATTACGACCACCCGGAACTGGTCCCGTGGCCGTGTTAACTTTCGTCGCGTGCCTTCGGGAAATGCCTCAACTTCTGTAGCCACGTGTTATCGTCGGAGCATTATAAACTTTCCATTGCTCGCTATTTTCCTCCTTTCTTTTCTTCTACGTGTTTTTTTGCGTTCATTATTTACGACGTGTTAACAAACTTCTGTACTACAGTTTTTTGAATAAAGGAATTTGGTGGACGAAATAAATTTGACTTCGAAAGGTACAAAACTGAATTAGTAAAATTAACACTGGGTTTATGGACATTACGAACATGCAATATGACGCACAAACGAATATATTTAAAGAAAAACAATCACTTAAAATATAATTAAACTTAGAATATAATAATGTTAAAGAAGAAATGTGATAGAATATGGAGGTGATGTTTGCGTTAATTTGTATGTTTCTATTAATTTGTAGCTTAATGGTGGCTTAAGAGAAACTGGCGCTAAATTTGAAATATTTAAAACGCTATCAGTAATTTCTACGTATAAGAATTTTGTACTACATTTTGTTATTAGAAATTATAATTATAAATTTGTATATCGATGTTCCAGATACGAGGCAGTGGAGCTGATTTATCGTGAACTGACCAGCGTTTACAAGCAATCGGATATCGATTGGAAGATCGTGCACGATGCAGGGTGCACCAGAGATGACACCGACTTACCTCATCATGTTACCAAGCCACAGGATCTTGATCGGTTGATCACTGGAACATTCAGATCGTTCCTGGCTGCGTTACCTGCTCCTCCTACTATTGTGACGATTGCACGGTAAACGGAGACATTTTTTAATTTTATTGCAGTAATGTGGTAGTGATGGTAGCATTGCTTGTATTATGTGGTTACTTGTAGTACTGAATTGTATGGTTAGGTTAGGTTACCATTAGTGATATACTATTAGTGTTTGTATTATGCAGTATCACTACTGGTACGCTGCTTGTATTATGTGGTTACTTGTGGTACTGTGTTGTATGGTTAGGTTAGGTTACCATTAGTGATATATTATAGTATTTATATTATACAGTATCACTATTGGTACGCTGCTTGTATTATGTAGTTACTTGCAGTACTGTATTGTATGGTTAGGTTAGGTTACCATTAGTGATATACTATTAGAATTAATATTATACAGTATCACTACTGGTACTAGTTACTTGTGGTACTGTATTGTATGGTTAGGTTAGGTTACCATTAGTGATATACTATTAGAATTAATATTATACAGTATCACTACTGGTACTAGTTACTTGTGGTACTGTATTGTATGGTTAGGTTAGGTTACCATTAGTGATATACTATTAGTATTTATATTATACAGCATCGCTACTGGTACGCTGCTTGTATTATATGGTTATTTGTGGTACTGAATTGTATGGTTAGGTTAGGTTACCATTAGTGATATACTATTAGTATTAATATTATACAGTATCACTACTGGTACTAGTTACTTGTGGTACTGTATTGTATGGTTAGGTTAGGTTACCATTAATGATATACTATTAGTATTTATATTATACAGTATCACTACTGGTACACTACTATGTTATACGTACATTAATAGTACTTCTAATTATATTATACAATGTTACTATCAGTAGTCCTACTTATGCTATACATTTTACTGATTACAGTATTACTTACATTACAGTAGCACTTATAGTAGTATTTATATAACATACTACTAATTTTATAATCATGAAGTTAAGCATATAAAGAAACATCAAATTTAACAACTGACTTATAACTTACATATCAAGTTTACATATCAAACATAATTTATGCAGTTCATCATCTTAACATCCTTTCTAAATATTGTTTGCATCTAAATGTCTATTTTCATCAATGGCCGACAACGCAAAAATTGAATCCTACTGAAAGTTACAAAATTACAGTATCAATTTAATCTATACTATAAGAAAACAATTAGAATAAAAAACCACCCACGAAACTTAAATCGCATCAAATTGAATTTCAACCCGATATCGAAAGTACAACGCCAGAGTCGCAGATGGCGTGGAAGAAGATGCTGGGAGGGTTGGAAATAGAGAAAAAGGGAGGAACGTAGGGGAGGTATGGTTGGGCCGTCCGAAGGGTGGGTTCATGGACGTTCAGATACCATGAAGCCCCACCCTTCATGTGGGCAAGGGGTGGCCTCGTAAGGGGTGCACAAAATCAAACCCCGACCTTTCGGCGCTCGTTGTCAGATGTCTCTGTCTTCGATGTCCCGCGACAGATGCTAATTATTCCTTTATCTTTGTTCTACGCTCTAGTTGGCCGGTTGATTAAGGCGAGACACGGTAATCCGTTTCTCAATTTTCCCGGCTCGTAATAAACACACGCGGAAATTGTAATTTGTGAGGCACGCGATAAGACATGATACTAATGGGATCACGTGCAGAGTCGAGGACTTCTGTTTGGGATTTTAAAGCTTATTTGGATTTTTCTTTGAACGTTTATTTATCAAAATATGTTGTAGATAGAATGCATGAATATTGCACGTTTGATTATGAATTTTATTCATATGTTACATATGTTTAAATAATTTTTGAGCAATTAACTTTGAGTAATTATTTTTTTATACGTATATTTGGACACAATTCAGAAGACTGTCAAATGGAGAGGAACATTTTTGCTGTTTTTCTCCTGGTAAAATATTTATGATAAATTAATAATTGTAGAAGAAATTCGTACAGTTTACTATATGTATGTATAGTACTTTATACTGTATGTAATTATCTAAAGTAACTAAATTATAATTGTAACTAGTGAACTAAACGAACCTATTTAAACAGAAAGAAATTGATCGATAAGTAACAGTAAAATACGAATAAAAATAATAACATCAGCGATAAACAGATGATTTGGCGCCATCTAGTGATGAAATTAGGGAAACAGTATTCGAACTTCCGGCGGCGTCAGAAAAAAAAATCGATTTCATCCCACTCGGCCCATTTCAGCCCTCAATGACCCCTTGCTCTCCGCCCTCAGCACCCCTAACTTCCGGAAAAGACGTGGAAACGCCGCCGGATGTCGCCTCTGGACGGCACCGAGGTTCTCTTGCAGTTTGCCAGACACCGATTAAACAGGAATAAAAAAGTCACCAGAAAAAAGATTACTTGCTTCAGTTAATCGTGGATTTGCCATCGTTTACACTTCGTTAAATTGAACCGCTTTAAGAAATAAATGAATAACGAATCGCTTGAAGTGAATGCCGTTATTCGACGCTGAAGAATGCGATCGTTACATTATTCACATAATTTACAATTATATAAGTGAGCGTTTTATACTGCCAATACCATGTTATTTATAAATTTTAATAAATTATCCTGTAGATTCATATATTTCTTTTGTATGAAAGTGACTTTAGAAATCTATACGTACTTCAAACCCTATCTCACGAAAGTCTGTAATTATAATTACTAACAAACGCTTTACAATATAATTATAAACGCGTATAATATAATTTTAATACAGTACAGTCTCCATTTCTCTTGAATCCCATTGGCTGAAAAATTAGCAATTTAACCAGTAACAATTTTCCACATCAAACAGTAAGAATAAAATAAATTGTTTCCAGGTCCAGCGAAGATGAGTACTGTCCCATGGAGGACGTTGATCAAATACAACTAGGAGTGCTCGACGAACTTCGTCAACGTCTGGAAAACGTCGACATCCAATTGGCGTACCAGGAAGAGGAAACGCATTAATCGAAAAATAAATATCCCTACAATGTACGAAAACTCATTTTAATACAATAAAGGTTTCCACGATAACTCTTGTTAATCACGTTTCTTTGCAACCTTTAAGCGATCCGGTCAAGCACCATCGTTAAGAAGATCAAATGAAAAGCTCGTAAATGTCAATTACACTCCGGGACGGAAAAACAATCGGGTTATCGATATAGATCGATGGAATACATCAAACGAGAGGAAGGAAACTGGCACGTCTTTGATCACAGCGACCATTTACATAAGATCGGTGCCACTGGTCCATTATAGAGAACACAATGCAGAAGGTTAGCGTTTTTTTTGCAACCCCCTTGCACCCCTTCGGGACGCCATTTGCATACCGTAGGCTAGTTTCCCACACGTCTTAACCATCGTTCCTTCCTTTCTTCTCTTCCCTTCGCAACCCTTTTCAGCCACCAAAGACAAAAAAGCCTAAGAACACGAAAAAAAGAGGAAAGAAAGACGTCTTCCAAGATGTTTCCTGGCGAAACGTTTTCAGGCTTGTGCGTGCTATTCAGGCGTGGTTTTTGCGCTATTGAATTTCGACTCGACAATGGACGCGGAAATCCTTGTCGAAATGTAGAAATCTGGAGCAAGATTTTGGGTTTTAGTTGGGGTAGGACAATCACGTATTTTCTGTAGGAAATTAAAAGAGTATAATGAATTTTTATGCTTTTAATAAAATTAAAAAAATGAATAGAATTTTGCCAAAATTAATTTTTTTTTGTTTAAAATACATCCCTTGATTTTAATTTTAATAGAATCAAGATTTTAAATAAAACTCTTCGTACCGACATTGCAATTGGTATTTCGTATATAGTAGACATTTTGAGAACGATGAAATGATAAATTAAAATGATATTGAATGATAAAATTAAAATTGCATAAATGTTTGAATAAAAACCCAGTAATTACGAGACACATTCTCACGAACGAACACCTGCTCCATCAAGACTAGAAATTCGAAACCCATAATATCGAAATGAAAAAGTAACAGCGAACGCACCATCAGCCGCGAGTTTCAAGTGCCGAGTGATTCAAGAATTAAGCATCCTGCAGTTAAGGGTCGCAACGAACGATAACGCGCAAATAAACGTTAAATGGACAAGGTGAATGCGGAAGTGTGGTCGCAAAGAAGGGACGTATTTTAAAGAACCGCAAGAAAAGTTTACGAGCTGCCAGGCTCGCGTAATGACTGTCGTTAAACCACCGGTGCGGACCTCTCGACGGAGAAGCAGACTTTTCTATGCTAATGACAGGGTGGTCCGATTTCAGCCACCCTGAGTAAAAAATCTTGGGGGTCAACAGACCCATCGTTCGGCCGAGTTTTAACTCTCCCTCGAGCACCATTGACCTCGAATTAAAAATGGGCTCGACCTTCGAACCGCTGAAAACTTTACGACCAAACGTGCCTCTCGCAAATTCATTCACTGCGTGTAAACGCAACACTCCTTGTTCGTACGGAATTAACTTTCTGCCGGAAACTGGTGCTCACGGCGTCCGTACTGTTTCACGGCACCCTAGGGACAACTGTACCGTTCACTGAAGTAATACCGGTATTAATATTCATTAAAGAGCTGCGTTTAAGATGTAATTCTTACGTCTGTGTTGGACATTTTGAAACTTTCGATTTCTCTATTATTTTATATTTTATATCTTTTTTACTGCTGAGGTGCCAGGTGGTAATGATAGTAATTTATGTCCATCTCTGACTGTCTCTGACCGTCTTCGTCTCTGACTATCTTTGTCTCTGCCTCTGTCTTTGGCTGTTTAAATATATTTTATAACCTTCCCATTATTTTTGTCAAAGAGATTACGAAAGCAAATTATTAGAAGAATGCAAGTGGAACTATCGCGTAATGAAATAAAGAAATATAATTGAAAATATTATTTCACGTAGCGAACCCAATTTTAAGTGTTTAATTCCCTGTCACGTTCGGATTTCATTCACCCAGGTGACACCGTAACCTTGGGTTCCAGGGGAATTATTCAAAACCAGGCCTGGCTGGCAAAAGTACAACCGTCCCTGGCATCGTAATCCTGTATCCGATTTGCATGAAAGAGAAACGCGAAAAAGCGATAGACGAAAAAAACAAAGGTGGAGCATAGAACGAACATGAGTTCGAACGAACTTTGTTGCACAAATTTTTCGAGAAATAAAATTGTCGATTTTCTTCGATTAATGTCGTCATAAATTAACCCAATTTTTCAGTTAATTTATAGGAGTAGGTTAGGTTTAATTAAGCTAAGTTTTCTCAATATTTTTGTAGAGGTTAAGTTAGGTTAGGTTTTCTGAGTATTTTTGTCGAGTAGGTTAGGTTAAGTTAAGCTAAGTCTTCTCAATATTTTTGTAGAGTAGATTAAATTAAGTTAGGTTAGGATTTTTGAATATTTTTATTGAGGAGGTTAAGTTAAGTTAGGTTAGGTTTTCTGAGTATTTCTGTCGAGTAGGTTAGGTTAAGTTAAGCTAAGTCTTCTCAATATTTTTGTAGAGTAGATTAAATTAAGTTAGGATTTTTGAATATTTTTGTATATTAGGTTAAGTTAAATTAGGTTAGGTTTTCTCAGTATTTTTATAGAATAGATTAGGTAAAATTAAGTTAAAGTTTGGCTAATCTTTGTGTCGTAGATTAGAGTAGTTTTTCCAAATATTTTTACAGTATAACCTAACACCAGTTACAATTTAAAAATACCTCGAAACCCGTCATTACAAGTATGCGATAAAAAAGAATTTCCGTCAGTTGAAAGTCACTTGACAATTCGATGCATCACCAAGAAACAAGTCAGCCGTGTTCCCAAAAAAGCAACGCACCCTTTCTCTAGCGTACCTGGATTATGCGCGTGACGAAAGAGATCTTCAGAGAGGCGAGTATGCTAATCAGCCGGCATAATGCGATATCGATACGCCGGCGAAAGCCAATTATAGCGTGTGGGGATCCTTCGTATTTCTGTTTCACGCGTACATCGGAAAACGTCTCCGTGAGACGCAGAAAGGGTCACACGGAAAATGAATGGCAAATAAAAAAAAGGAGAAGGAGGATGGGGCCCTTATAGACAACGCCATAGGCGGAGACCTCGTTGGTCGTTATTCGAAAGTGCTATTTGTATTTATTCGGGGCCTTTGTTCGTGCCCGGAGGCACACGGGGAGGAGGGTGGGGCGAGCTACGGGCGGGAAAGAGAGAAAAAAATTATTCAAAGACGGGCTAGGGGTGAGGTCCACTAGTCGTTACGGGACTACATAACGTTTCGGTCGAAAAAATTTGTTGTACGGCTCGATTTTTAGTGGTGTTCGATTAGTGAACGTCATGTTTTATATTAATTTCTGAAACTGATTTTTCAAAATGGCTGGTGAAATTGAAGATGACGAGGGTTTCGATAATTGACGATGTTTTTGATGTGATACGTGTGCGAGAAAATAAGTTAGAACAAACAATGTTATACTTATATGCGTCTTGTGTTATTTGATAAGTGAACGTCATGTTTTATGTCCATATTTAACCCACATATTATAAGGAAAAAGAGAGTGAAATTATAGACGATATTGTTTTGAATAATTGATACTCTGACAATCTTTTTGATATGATACAGAAAATGAGTTAATATTACACTTATATACGTTTATAGTTGTAGTGTTTGATAAGTGAACGTCACCTTTTACGTCCATATTTTAATCCACATATTATAAGGAAAAAGAAAGTGAAATTATAGACGATATTGTTTTGAATAATTGATACACTGACATTCTTTTTGATATGATACAGAAAATGAGTTAAAATAATATTACGCTTATATACGTTTCTAGTTGTAGTGTTTGATAAGTGAACGTCACCTTTTACGTCCGTATTTTGACTCACATATTATAAGGTTAAACAGAGTGAAATTATAGGCGAACTGTTTTGAATAATTAATACACTGACAATCTTTTTGATATGACACAGAAAATAAGTTAAAACAGACAATATCACACCTATACAAGTTTTTAAATGTTGTATTCGAAAAGTGAACGTCACATTTTATGTCAATGTTTGATTCTGAATTGTCACAAAATTGAGGATAAAATTATAGATGCTACTTTGAATAATTAATGTGCTGACGATATTTTTGATGTGATACACGTGCTAGAAAATAAGTTAAACAATATACTTTTAACAATATAATAATATACTTGTACAAGTCTTGATTCTTAGTTGTAGTGCCTGATAAGCGAAACTTTCGCGTCCATATTCTAATCCACTATAATTATAAGGGAAAAAAGAGTGAAATAATAGATAATACTATTTAGAATAATTAATGTGTTAATTCTCTTTACACAATATAACAATATATTACATTTAACAATATATTAAAACAAGTCAAAATAAGCTATATAAGTTTAAGCAAGTTAAAATAAGCAATACTTAAAACAAATCAAAATAGAGAGTAATAAGTTAAAACAAGTAGTTATATATTAAAGTAAGATAAAACTAGCAATAATAAGTTAAAGCAAATTATAATAAACAGTAATAAGTTAGAACAAGTTAAAAACAACAATAACAGGTTAAAACATAAACCTTTGCACGATCTCATATGTCAATCAGCACTAGACTCTGCTACTATATTAAAACAAATAAACAAAATTAAACTATTATATTTTATATCCAGCGTGCTTTGTTAATACAAATTATAACCGAACTTAAACTACAAATTATAACGTATTAAAAATTCAAGTAAGATTTATCACATTTGTACTGTGAGTGCATCATGAGACTCGTCAAAATATTCCAGAGGGTTGAAACCAGCAATAATTCAACAAATTAGTCACAAATGCCAGTAAACAAGTTATAAACCCTCCCCAATATTCTAAGTTAATATACTCTGTTACCTTGTATAAAAAAATTAAAATTTTAAATTTTCAAAATGATTCTTAATTTTTCCATCCACTCAGAAAATCCCTCTTTTATTATTCCATATATGAATAAGTTTATTCGTCAATATATGAATGCCAGTACACCGCGTAAAATTTGTTATATCAATAAAATATAAATGCGCCATGAAAA